TGGTAGATGTGTGACATCGTCCTCGAAGACCCGCCGCGCACGCATGACAGTGAGCTCCTCCCGGGCAGGGTACTACGACCCCCATCACTGTTTCGCCCCTGATGGAGCTAGAGCCTCGGGGAAAAACGAGAATATGCGCCATTACGAGACGCAGCGGGTGTTACTCGATTTTAAGGTCTTAGGTCAACCGGTGACTTCTGAGGTCAGGTCAAGTGGCCCAAGTCATGGGATCGGTTCTTGATAAATAGCTTCGCAATAAAATGGCCGCATAGCCGCGATTTTGGCAGGGCTCAAATAAAGCTCCGTCCTGCCGATGAGGTCGGCGACCACGAATGCTATAACATTTCCCAATGGTGCGACCAAAAACGCGAAATATGAAACAAATTTTGAAGAATATCTTTGAAAAGCTATATAAATATTGGTAAGAATATTGACATAGCCTCAGCATCACTTATGCGCATCATGTTTCATGTAGTCAATTGTTATGGTTATTTCCACGGTACAACCTGGACACTGGACGGTGGGCTAACATACCACTGTTGTAGGATAAACTACCACCTTCCGTACACGGGAATACTACCACGCTTCCCCATCGGCGCTCGTCGGCGTTTTCTGTGCGACCACCCGTGTTAAACCAATGGGGAAGAGTGGTTGTCAAAATCGCCGACGAGCGCCGTTCATTGGTCGCCCACCAGGGGAGGGGTAGGGATAGGGATTCGGGCGCAAAATTTTACTCTTGTTTTTTTTTTTTATGGTGTATTTAGGCTGCGTTCGGACAGCCCGGTCACTGCGTGGAACTTCCACGTCGAGGAATTCCTCACGCAAACGCATTCGGTCAGTGCGAAACGCTATGGCCAAACGGCCGAAAGGCGTTTTCGTGGGGAGCTCATCGGCGTAGAAACTCCACGTGGAAACTGGGCTGTCCGAACGCAGCGTTAGCGATCAAACCACTGCTTTTAATCCATGTTGTACTTAATTGCAGATTCGTGTACATTGGTGGTGCTTGATGTGGGCTACGGGGCTGGGAATAGTAGCATTAGAAGGTTCAAACGTTCCTTTGCGTGTCCGACAACAAGAGCCATGGGCAGTTGGCACTGGGCAACCGGTGCTGCGACCACAATATGAATAAAACTTTTGGTCGGCGACCACCAAACATCTTTTTTGAGCCCTGGATTTTGGCCTCATCGTGTTCGCCTAACTAAGGCGCACCAAATGATATACTTTTTGTTCGGATTAGGTCAACTTAAGGTGTTGACCTCGGTTCAAGGTCAGGTCAGAGCCCCTCAGGCTACGAAGCTTGTCGAAGGAGGTCATACCGCATAACATTCGATTCGTCAAGTCTCCCCGAGTCCATTGGTGGCTTTCCCGTCTCCACCTCAATTTGACCGGGAGTTATTAACGAAAAACTCTTATGACCCTAGTGAAAATGTCAACAAAGCAAACGTGAACCATCGAACATTGCAAGGAGTGAAATCCTGATTCCATGTGCTTGAGATAGTTTTAGATCATCATTCCCGCCACCAAAATAACAATTTCCATATAGTTCCTCATGGCTCATTGACTTATGATGGTGAGGTCACGTGACCGACCTGACCTCACGTGACATTTTGGAAAAAGCCAAGATATAATAGGTATACAAGTTGCGAGACCTGTAGAGGATAACACATGACTGTAAGTGGTATCTTCCTGTAAAATTTCTTTAGGCACTGAGGGCGTTGCGAAGTTACGATATCTGAGGACCGTGCAGAGGTTTACTTATGACGTCATAGGTCAGTGACCTGACCTGAAACGAAAATGCGGTTGGTGTCAAAAGATCTTGCTTGAACCATGCCAAGCTCAGCTCTCTATCTCCGGCATGTTTGTGCTGAGCTAGCAGCTAGCGTGAAAAAAAAACTGCATGGGGGGCGGCTTCGGCCCCCCCCCCTCCCCTCGACCGGCGAGGGTTAAATTTATGTAATAGGCATCAGCAACATGAAAAAAATTATTGATCCTAATGTTTCCAGGCTAATTTTGACCATCATAAACTTGACCTTGATCCTGAACTTTGAGCACAGCAATGGACTCCTCGGAATGCCTTCGTCGATCTCCAACCGATTTTGCCGCATTTTGAGCGATTTACGTTGCGTCTCTCTTTACGGAGTTAGACAGGAAGTCAGACAGGGGGACAAAAAATGTCCCGGACCCTTTTGTTTTGTCACGAGCAACGCCGATACACGCCGAGGAGCAGAGACTTTGGGAGATCAGCAGCACCTGGCGGCGGTATCGTCAATCAGTAGTTGGACAGATGCTCGTCAGTGAGCTCGACACTGGCGCTGCAATCGGCAACGAGGCTGCACCTCGCCTGAGCTAACTTGCGACTCAAGGCCCTAAATACACTTAGGCATTTAGGCACTTGCGACTTAGGCATCCCTTAGGATGCCGGATGACGCTGAAGGCATCCGCTACAAACCTATATTAAAGGTACCCTAGACTGGAAATTTGTGTAATTAATTAGAAAAGAAATACCTTTTAACCCTCGCCCGCACATGGGGGGGGGGGGGCTGCCACCCTCCAGGTAGTTTTCTGCTCTGCACTCAATATGTTTAGAGCTAGAAGACTGATTTTTCGTATAGCTGCTCCTCTATCCTTTCTTGATGTCCACTGAAAATTTCAAGTTTCTGTGGTTTTTGGTTTCGGAGATATGACCTTGTTTTTCAGGTCATGTCATGACCCAAATGACCGATTCTCAACATCTTGCGTTGGCTATGGGCCTTGTGAGCTTTTGTCACCCTGATTTCGGCCTTTTTTGCCAGTCTTACCTCCCACCTATCATGGAACATGTTGTTCGACGATGTACAGATGTCAAGGTCAGGGTCAAGGTCAACCTAGGCCATCTAAAATAATTGCGTTAGGCAAGCTGAATTGCGTTAGGCAAGCTTTTTGAATTGCGTTAGGCAAGCTTTTTGTGAAGTTTTTTGACTGCGTTTTTGGTAAAAGCTTCTCAGATCATGATTTCATGTAATATGGACACATAAACAATCGGTGCTTCGTAGCTACCATAGGTCGGCCAGAAATGACGTCAGAGTGACGTCATGTTCGGCCGATTTCGACGCAAAACATTGAACCACGGCAATCGCTCCCAAGAGCTCAGTTTTTAAGCTAGATCCAATTTCTTTGCATGAGAGGACTCAGAATCGACTGTGCTATCAAACTGCGGTTTTGGATTTTCAAAATTTTGAAAATTTCGAAAATTATATATTATAAAATTCAAAAATTATTTTTTTCACAATGATTTGACTTTTCGAAACAAACCGTAATATTTGTGATAGACCACATGCTTATAACTTACTCTAGCAAGTTGTAGCTAAATATCTTCAAAAATGGCCAAGGTATACGCATCCTATTGCAAAAAATACAATTATAATTTTTTCAAATCAATTTTTCAGTACGTATTTGACATCTTACACCAATATAAATAGCACCATCGTGTTCCTGAGCTCAAACGGCATCCAATAGACACCCTTTTTGTTGAAAAAAATTTAATTTCAAAATTTGACCTTTTTTGACCTGAAAGTGACCTGACCTAAGCTAAATTCAGCTCAAAATGACCTCGAATGACACAAAACGACAACAAATTCGAAATATATGGCCTAAATGGACCATAAAACATGTGTCACGTGACGGACGCATGACATAATATTTCCGTGACCTGTGATGACCTGACCCTGACCTGAAAATCAAAGTACAAGTTTGGTACCCTCAGGGTATCTAAAGCATCTGTTCACGAGTGTGTAAACCTTAACCAAAAATGAGCCTGATCTGACTTGTAAGACGGCGGCCAGAGCCCAAAATGTGAACAAGCCAAAATGCTAATAATTTTTAGTTTGACCTGACCTGTGACGTCATCGGTGACCTTGAGGTTAATGAAATTTGGTTTCGCTCGACATTTTTCCCAGGACTATCAGCCGCCGTTTGAATTTCGACAATCGGCATAATGAGATAGTTTCGGAGATAGGAGGGGGGCTCTGTAGAACCCTCCCCCCCCCCCCCCCCGGCAGCCGCGCTATGGAAAATACCCCAGTCATGCGCGGGTTAAACACTGCACCTATCCGACATAACCATCTTCACGACCACGACTAAGTACCGAGGCATGGACCGAGCCTAGAGCCGCCCTCACGTAGCGGCAAAAACCCGCAGTTCTGTCCGCTCCCGGTGTTCAAGACTGCCGCGTCGCGCGGTCGACGGCCACATCGACCTCATTTTCCCCAATTCTCAGTCGGAGAGAGAGCCGCCAACAGAACAGCTGAGTCATGGCGCATGCGACCGTTTTCGGTCAGCTAGCCGTCCAGCGTCCATGGGAGTTAGCATGGGAGGCGGAGAGAGAGAGAGAGAGAGAGAGAGAGAGAGAGAGAGAGAGAGAGAGAGAGAGAGAGAGAGAGAGAGAGAGAGAGAGAGAGAGAGAGAGAGAGAGAGAGAGAGAGAGAGAGAGAGAGAGAGAGAGAGAGAGAGAGAGAGAGAGAGAGAGAGAGAGAGAGAGAGAGAGAGAGAGAGAGAGAGAGAGAGAGAGAGAGAGAGAGAGAGAGAGAGAGAGAGAGAGAGAGAGAGAGAGAGAGAGAGACGGAGATCATTGCGTTCTTGACGCCTTTATCTTAATTTTCACTTCTACTTCCTCTTCTTTTTGACTATGACTTTGTAACTATTGCACATTTTTAACGTTTCATTTTTAATTCATTACGCCTACCATATATGCAATGCAACGGCTCGTAGTTTACCATTCGATTTCGTAATACCAAGCCGATACATTCCAATACCAACCTAAACCATATAGTCTTTCCCTCCCATCCCTCCCTCCACCTCTCTCTCTCTCTCTCTCTCTCTCTCTCTCTCTCTCTCTCTCTCTCTCTCTCTCTCTCTCTCTCTCTCTCTCTCTCTCTCTCTCTCTCTCTCTCTCTCCGGGCGGCGCGGGCGGCGCGGACGGTGCGGTTGACCCGGCTCGGTGGTGTGCCGGTTCCCCAGCACCAGTAGGTACAGTGATGTCACGGCGGCGGTGGTGCGCGGATGGTGTTGGTGCAGATCAGTGAGCCGAGTGGTGACAGCACCGTGTTGGGATTGGTGATATGCAGGGATGAAGCTGGGTAGATTTGGGGCAGAAGGAAATGCAAAGTGAGCTACCTAGTGCATACTTAACTACATGGAACGGAGACTATAGGTAAGTGAACTATCATTAGCTCCATGAAAAGTTAAAAGCTTTAAGAAGTCAGCATTTATGCTCCTGGCTTATCCAACTATCAATTTGTCTGTGTTTATGTATGCGTGTCGTAGAAATAGAGCGCAAGCTTAAAATCACAAGTTATAAGACGCACTAGCACTTATGAAGCATTGTGGTGTTTGCTTTCCTGTATAGCAGTAACCCAACAGTCAAACCATTTAACCACTCATTGCGCGTTACTTGATTGACTTCTGACAATACCGAAAACGTTTTGTGCAAAGATACAGTGCTTACTTTGGTGCCGTCTATATTTGCTGAAAACCTTCGGTCAGTGATTGTTAAGCGCAAATGTTGGCTCAACCGGCGGTGGCTTCCAGTGCACTGTGCAGTGTGCATGTTTGCAGAGCGCAGGTCATGACTGCAAGAGCAGTGATAGAAAAGCTATGCATAATGCATGAATGCGGTTGAGCTATCTACCAAAGCCTACCGCGGAATGTTTCCGTTCATCGCTTTGAATCATTACATTCACAGTGTCAATAGGACAGCGACAGTGGCGGATCCAGGGGGGGGGGGCAAAATCGGCATTTGCCCCCTTCCAAACGGCATAATTTTAACATTACGTCTATGGACGATGCATGGAAAGAATCGATAAATTGTTATGGTTTGCCCCCAACCCCAAAAAAAAACTCTGAGCTGGATCCACCTCTGGACACCGATAGGTTGTTTTCGGCGTGCCGAAATACCATGGATGGTATTGATGTGGAAGTAGATAACCATGCTTATGCGTCGGTCACATTAATATCTCACTCAGTTACTTGTTACTTAGCAATGCACTCACCCAAAGTGCTACCGTTTGAGTACAATCCTCTTTGTGGTGCATCTACACCTGTAGGGACTGATCAGATGCATTTCTTTCCGCAGGTGGAAGTGTGAACGACCCAGACATGCCCCGGGTCGTGAGACCAGTCCGTTGATCGGTCGATGACGGATCGGATTGTCCCGAGCTCAATTCGTGAGAGTGATTACCGCGTTATTAGTTCGTGATCTTTTCGTGATGGCTCCTGAATATTCCGATGTTCGATCGCTCGATTAGCCTGTGATTTGTACTTATCGGTTGATTTACTCGTATTTCGTGTTAAATACGTCATCAGCTCGTGACGACTGGCCGGCGAGCAGATTAATCAGCATTTTTTCTGTGATAGGTTTGCGATTGGTCCGTGAGTTCCTGTTGTGTCGCTTCGGTCTGTGAATGTTCCGTGATTAGTTCGTGATCGGTCAGTGATCCGTCCGTGTTAGTTTGTGATCGGTCCGTGATCAGCACGCCAGCCATGTCTGTGTTCAGGCCGCTGAGGTCGCTACTGGTGCCGCGGCACATGACGCGGCTCCTGATCACCATCACTGGCTGCGTGCTGCTGACGGTGCTGCTGATCCAGCCGGGCCCCGGCTGGGGCGGAGGGTCCCCGGAGGGACGCCATCGGGGCCGGCTCATCTCCGATCTCTGGGCGCGCGGTCTGCCCGAGCAGGCGTGGTTCGCCGGCAACCGGCGCTGCGCCCACCTGGTCACCCGGTTCACCCGGGATCGAGAGATGCCGCTCGTGTACCTGGCCTCGCTGCCGCGCTCGGGTAACACCTGGGTGCGGTACCTCCTGGAGGCATCCACCGGCATCTTCACATGCGTCGGCGGACCCGAGTACCACCAGTACCGCAACGTCTCCAACCGGAACGCCTCGCGCACACCGGAGCAGATCTGGCAGGTGAGCCGCAAGGGCTTCAACCAGTGGGTCGACTTCGGCTACCTGGGCGAGCTACTGAACTGGACGCAGGGCAACACGCTGGTGGCGCGCAGCCAGACCTGGCCGCAACCGTGGTCGGTCAGGGAGGCCAACCGCATTGACGATACCCTGCAGCACCCGCTGGCCGCGTTCCCGCCCGGACTGCCGCGACGGGCAGTGGTCATCATCCGCGACCCGTTCCGAGAATTCATCTCCTGGAAGAAGTACGACCACACACACAGCATGGTGAACGAGGGTGATATGACCGAGCTGTACCACGGCCCCGAGTGGCACCACTTTGTCACCTACTATGCGCGCGAGTGGTACGACCTGTACTCACGCTGGATCGAGTACACCGATGATGTTTACATCCTTCACTATCACCGGCTGATGAGCGATACCATGGTGGAGCTGGGCCGGATTTTGCGCTTCCTCGAGGTGGAGCCCGACCCGGCGAGACTCGAGTGTGTGAGAGGTCACCTGGAGGGTCGCGTGCACAGCCACCGACACGGCGTGGTGCCGGACAATGTGACCTATCCGACTCGACTGCGGGCCGAGGTGTGGAGGCACGTCCATCAGCTCAACCAGGACTTCAAGGCCAGGGGCTGGCAGCCGCTGCCGCTGGACAGCTACTCGTTTGCCGACCAGTTCGCGGATATTGGCGTGTGAATGCCAAGACATCGTGTCGCGTACGCTTTGCTGTCAGACACTCTGCAGGGAGCTTTTATTCAGGTATAGCGTGCAGAGTGGAACCCCTGCGATGCCGGATCCACGGTGCTGCTCAGAAATGTCGCCAGTGAATAGTGTGTGCTCTTTCGCTTTTGGAAGGGGATCGGTACAGTGCGATGCGGATTGTCATCAGATCAGGAAGAAAAGATACTTCATGTGTATAGTACGAATTGAAAGACGTAAGCGACAAATATTAGCTGCATGGGAGAAAGCAGCACAATATGAAATGCAAAGAAAGTAGTACATGCTATGAAACACACTACTCTAGGGGTTAAGATTTTATCTGTAAAATCTCAAGGCCTAGGTATCTATGATCATGTGCGAGTATACCTATGTGATGCCATATAGGTGTCTCTGGTGTGATATTCGATATTATTACTGCAGATAAATATACCGGGTGGCCCAGAAAAAACGTTCCCAATTTTAAATCAATATTTCTCAGAAAGCGATAAAGATACAACATTGAAACTTCCAATAGTCAATGCGACATGTATTTTAAGTGAATGGTATGATTTTTATGTTATTCGGTCAATTACTTTTTAAACGGTTCGTGTTTCTAGCATGCCATGTAAAAATCACTTTTTTGCTCTGTTGTTTACCAAAAATGTGAGTGAACGGGCCACTTCCATCTCGGCACCACGGCCTACAGCCATGAATGCTACTGGCAACTAGTCTCATTGGTGGTTCAGGCCTCAGGGTGACACATTCCCTCTAGCTTTTTTCCTTATTCGGTCGATTTACTATTTGATCTTCTTGAAGGGAGGGCGATCAGCAGTAACCCATGCACCGTGCCACTCCTTCGCCTCGAAACAGGACTTGTGTTGAAACGAATGGCATCCATTAACACAACTTTGGCTTAGTATTCGAATATTTGGCACATAAGTGTGACAAAAATATATGAAATAGCAACACACGTGCTGGTATCATTCAAGCTGTTCTATTTTTTTTTTGTATTTTTTCTAACATGGTACGTCTAAGCCAATCATTAGTTCCGTTCAACAACGGCAAAAAAAGCAAAAACGTCTTACTTGATTCAACATAAGATTGCTGGCTTGAAAATGATGGTACAGTGTTATAATTTGACATACCAATGCGCAAAGAAGTGACGCAAACTTGATGAAAATTTTGACTGGTTACTTGCACTCGAATTTGAGATATAGGCCTCCAAAGTTCGGAACGTTTTTTTTGGGCCACCCGGTATGTATCTGTATATAGCTGGATGTAACATAACGTAGAGAGTAAGAAACCATATTTGATAACGAACCGAGTGCCAAACCAGCACACAGTTCAATGGGCCATGGCCATTGGCCACTATTTTCCAGTACATTACCGTAGCTGACCAGTGACCACTGTTCTTATCAGAGTATATAGACGACCTATAGTAGGTACATAGGTTTTTGTAGTAGACCGTGTTCACGAATCTCTCGGCCCGCTACCTGCGACCTACCTCCCATCGTTCTGTTGCCGCATCATGGGAGCAGTCATGTGGGCCGCGTACAGTTGTGGGTCACTAACGGTTCACCGGCGGCCGGCGGCCGGCCGGCACGGAGCCTGGAGGCCGGCTTACCGACACCGTTAGGGCGACGGGCGGAGCCGGAGCGTGGCCGTCACAACCATCCGGATCGAACCCGTGTTCGGAGAGTACCGCTGACACCTTCCCAGCTCGCACTACATGACTTGAAAAGAGAGTGGGCGATGGGGGCACATACATAGCATACCTTACGAGGGCCGTCGATCATCGAAAGATAACTGCGGACACCGTATAGAAGTGAATGCCCTATTAACCCGCGCCCTGCTGGGGGGGGGGGTGTTTGAACACCCCCCCCTTGTGGTTTTTCGCGAATATCTCAAAAACGGCGGCGCGGAGCGCCGCCGTTTTTGGTACACCTTATCATACATCAATTCTACACATGTTGTGAAAATTTCAGACCAAGGTCATTCAAGGTCAGGTCACCAGGTCACTTGAAGTGACCTCACCTCATAAAAAGTTTCAATGTCTGTCATAGCTACACCGAGTGACCGATCGCTTTGAAACTTTCAGCGATTGCTAAGAGCAATAGCATGTACAAAATGTATATCTCAGAATTTTGATATCAATGACCTAAGGTCAGGTCAATTTTGCGACCTCCCCATTATAAGTCAATGGGAGAAAATTGAAATGCGCCTCTTTTGGACAAAAGACATTATAAACACTCCCAAACACCGAATTACAAGTGGTTTAGACACACTGAACATGAAAATGGTGTCCGTGACCCTTGTTTATGCCCTGAGGTCATCTTAGGTCACGAATGGTATCTAACAGTTTTTCGCAAATAACTTTTGATAGAGGCATGCTAGAGCGATGAAAACGCCTTAGATGTGTTCAGCTCGACGATACGGATCGACTGATATGCAACATGACCCTTTCCGGTCAGGTCATGACCTTGACCTGAGGTCAAATTTTCAAGTTGACCTTTCAAGGTCAACTCATAGTTCATTCGATGCGTCTTGACGAGAGGAACACAATGCCGGTAAAAGTAAGCTCGTACAAGGCTTGAGTCAAAAGTTATTGCAGAAAAACTGTTTCCGAAAAAATCAGCTATTTTTGCAGTTTTTGCCCCCTGCAGGCAAAACCGTTGACGTTAGGTCAAATCTGAGAGAATTACTCAGAAACGGCTTTAATAGGGCTATCGAATGCGCTTTTCCGCGGCGCTGTAGCTCTATTGGTTCTCGAGTTATGCGTTGGCTTCTTGGAAATTTTCGACATTCGACCTGGAAATCGGCGAAATTTTGCCTTCAATGACCTCTGGTGACCTGACCTTTGACCTGACCAAAAAATTGACCGAAGTGATTTCGTCATTATTTTTGACGCTCTTTCGAACGCCGCCTTCCGCGTATCGCTACGTGGCCCAGGAGCCGAGTTACAAGGGGGGGTGTTCAAACACCCCCCCCCCCCCAGCAGGGCGTGGAAATCCAGGACCCCCAGCCGGGCGCGGGTTAAATGAAGAGCGTTATGCAATATCCCGTTGAGGTATCAATTTCCTCCACAGCGGCGCCGTGCGCACTATATAATTGTGTCGTTTTACTGCAGCTGAAACGCGAATCTGTCGGCTTCAGTGGCCTCCGCGTGATCGATCTAAGTCATTGGATACACCATTAGGCCGTTTGAGTAAGGGCTGACGCACTGTGGGCACCCATAATGCGTCACTGGCAGTGCACCGTGACCAATGTCGCGTCTGAAATGCCTCTCAAGCCTTAGCTGTGCAATAACGTAAGCAAATGCATGCATGCAATTTTAGTGCGAACGCCTTACGCCTTACGCGACCGCCTTACGCGAACGTCTTACGGATTTTGGTAATCTGCAAAACTTCGACGATCATTGATCACTGATTAATATTGAATTATAGGTATGACGGAAAATAATAAATTATTAGTCTAGAGATCAATCATTTTGGCCCCATGTACCTAAACGTAATAATTTAACTGACGATACTGCTTTCAGGTATTAGAACGTTGTGTTCAGCATTGTTAATAAGATTAGTTATTAGAAAGATGAAAAATAACCTGTTGCTCATTTCTATCAGAAATAGAAAAATAAGCCAATATACCGGGTGGCCCAGAAAAAACGTTCCCAACTTTAAATCAATATTTCTCAGAAAGCGACAACGATACAACATTACAACTTCCAATAGTCAATACGGCATACATTTTCAGTAAATGGTATGATTTTTATGTTATTCGCTCAATTACTTTTTAAATGGTTCGTGTTTCTAGCATGTCATGTAAAAATTACTTTTTTGCTCAGATGTTTACTAAAAAAAAATGTGAGTGAACGGGCCACTTCCATCTCGGCACCACGGCCTGCAGCCATGACTGCTACTGGCAACTAGTCTCATTGATGGTTCAGGCCTCAGGGTGACACATTCCCTCTAGCTTTTTTCCTTATTCGGTCGATTCACTGTTTGATCTTCTTGAAGGGAGGGCGATCAGCAGTAACCCATGCACCGTGCCACTCCTGCTCGAAACAGGACTTGTTAAAACAAATGGCATCCATTAACACTATTTTGGCTCAGTATTTGAATATTTGGCACATAAGTGGGACAAAAATATTTAAAATAACAACACACGTGCTGGTTTTATTCACGTGTTCTATTTTTCCATTCTTTTTTTCTAACATGGTACGTCTAAGCCAATCATTACTGCCGTTCAACATCGGCAAAAAAAGCAAAAACGTCTTACATAATTCAACATAAGATTGCTGGCTTGAAAATGATGTTACAGTGTTATAATTTGGCATACCAATGCGCAAAGATGTGACGCAACCTTGATGAAAATTTTGGCTTGTTATTTACACTCGAATTTGAGATATAGGCCTCCAAAGTTCGGAACGTTTTTTTTGGGCCACCCGGTACATGTATTCGGGCGTGGCCCTTCCTCCGTGGTACAACATCACAATTGTGATCTTGTACCACTCAGGAAAGGCCACACCCGAATTATATTGGTTTATTTGTCTATTTCTGATAGAAATGAGCAACAAGTTACTCTTCATCCTTCTAATGACGATACTGACTTTAGGGTCAGTGTACTTTAGGCTCGGTACCTTTATAATATTATTTGAGGTCTTGGGTTGCTGGGCATTTAGGTTAACCCGCGCCCCAGTGGCGGTCTCGGCCAACTTCGCCCTAGTGGGGGGGGGGGGGGGCATATGTTACCACCCACCTCTAACTCAAAAACTATTAGGGCTAGAAAGACGCGGTAAAAAGCAGTCGATAGCTCTCAATGCGTACGTTTGAAAATATTTCAGTCATTTTTCATCTTAAAGCAATATTGGGGTCACCAGAGATCATCAAAGGTCAAAATTTGCCAATTGTCATTATATTTTTCAGAAAACATGCCGCTATCTCAGGAACTATGGTAGCTAGAAAATTACATGGAACGGCAAACGATAGCTTTTGAACTCTTCTTTTGATAAGGTCATTATCAAAATTGACCTCAGGTCAACGGTTTAGCCTCCAGAGGGCAAAAACTCCAAAAATAGCTGTTTTTACGAAAAATGTTTTTCGACAATAACTTTCGACTACAAAAGCCACGACATTTCTATTGCTAGAATCGTGTTCCTCTCGCCGAGACGCGTCGAATGAACTATAATTTGACCTTGAAAGGTCAACTTGAAAATTTGACCTCAGGTCAAGGTCATGACCTGACCAGAAAAGGTCATGTTGCATATCAGTAGATGCGTCTCAACAAGACAAACACAATGAGACCATCCCCAGCGTTCTATCTCTTTCCAATCGTGAGTTATTGGCAAAAATATGTTCGTAGCCTCAAATGACCTCGAATGATCTTTCTAGAGGCTATCAGCAAAAATGACACCTTGGTCATCACGGGTGGTCCAAATCACTGTGATTCTGAAATATTTTGACTGTTCCTATGCGTACACATGGATCTAGAGGCATTTTCATTTTTCTCCATTGACTTGTAATGGAAAGGTCACGCCACTGACCTGACCTTAGGTCACGGATATAAAAAATCCGAGATATGCAAATTGTAGGCACCCACAACAGCATGCAATCCATCAAGTTTGAAACCTTTCTGACAAACACTGCAGGCTGGACATGATTGCAAACTTGTTTAGGCTTGCTCAGTTAACTTGACCTGGTGACCTGACCTGACATGACCTGGGGTCAAAAATTTCACACATTGTCCAAAATTGATGTACCAAAAGCTACCCCAAGCGGCGCGGCGCTACGCACCGCGGTTTTTTATTCACACGCAAAAAACGCGACAGGGTGGTGACATATGCCCCCCCCCCCCCCACTGGGGCGAAGGTCAAGCTGCTTTTAACATATGTTGATTGTTGATTGTAGGAAGTTGAAGGCATTCGCATTTACAACAGCCTACGCCTAGCTCAATCTAGCCCGAAAGTTTTCTTCTGAAGGGCTATCGTCCTGTCAAATGTGTCTCTTGTATCTCGTTAAAGCCTAGATCTAAGCGCTGTAGAGAACATTTTGTGAATAAATTGGGCTCCACAAGCTGAGAACTAACTGCTGAGAATAGTTGACTCGGTACAAAAGCACCATAAACACATCCGCCATTCATATATTTCACCAAACACCATGCATAAACAGCACATACACAATACACAATACACACACATATGAGGGATTAATTTAACTTGCCGCCAAAACACTTCACATTTTCCCTTTGCATTACCAACAGAGCATGTATATTTGGCCTCACTATCAATCAGCTCAGATCAGGTACATACACTCTACACCAAGAGATGTCATTTTTACAATATGGTACATTTTGCGCTTGTGAGAGGTCACCGCTCGTGATCTCACGTCCGAACATTACGCTTCTTTGCCTTTTGTTCTGCGCACTATAATCTATAGTGATGTTTTCATAGTAGCCCTGTGGCCCTGTGAGCGGTTTGAGTTACATGCTGCTCTATACAAATTGAGAGGCTCTTGCTTAGGTGAGATTGAGCTAATAGAAATTGGGTTACTTTACTGTATGCATGTAGATTGTAGATCATAGGTATATAAAAATAACTCATACTACAGGTTGCCTGGGTAAGCATTAGTCAAGTCGCTACTTATTGCATTTTTCAGCCCCTGACTGCTTGTGGAATGCACCAGACTCCCATCCTGGACATTTTTATTCGAGGAGCCTTCCTATCGAGCTTACAAAGTCTACACCAAGACGACTACAGAGCTCTATAACATCAGATCCACATGCCCGTAAGTCGCACACATGAATGAGGCTGATATCTCGACACGGCAAAATGTAGTACAATGCCCGGACATTGCACGCACAAACGCTCAACCTTAAACACTAAGTGAATGCATCTCAAATGAAGTCACACACAGCTCATCTCATTGACTCCGACGGTGACTCGAATAACGTCATAGTTCTCCGCAATGTCACCTGTTCTTCTGCTTCCATCCACAGCTACAATAACTTGTTAGCATTTTTGCATGAAAGCAACAAACCTTTTGCCACCCATATGCCATTGCCACTTCGCACAACGATAACTTGCGATGAAGTGGCTGAGCTGTTGGTATTTCGCGAAACTGTCTCTTTCACATGCACTCTGGTAAACGGATTAACTGATTAACGGAATTTCGGTGTCAATACTGTAATAGTGATGTTATGATATAAATTTTGACTTCACGGTAGCAATAGTGATCCATGTCGAAAATGGTGACATCACGGTAGCAATAGTGATGGCACTAATTGCAGCTCTGACGTCATGATGACAATGCTGACGTCATGATATACATGATGACGTCATAGTGGCAATAATGACGTCACTGCAGCTACCGGAGGACGGCGGAGGCTGCTGTGAGGAGAGCTGTGAGACTGAGTGAGCTGAACCAGCTCTGAGAGCCGTTACAGCCGTCCTCCTCGGCACAGCTTTGGAGACAGCCGTGCACGTGTCTGTGGGGAGGCCAGAGAAACGACACCGGTTAGGTTCGTTTGTGGAGGGATGACTGGGACGCAGTGTGTGATGTGTCATGTATGTGGGTAACCGATGAACATTGAACAGTTACGAGATTATTTTAGTGAGGCTGGTGTAAACTACTTTACGTGTGCTACCTAACCTCTAATCCCAATTAACATTCAACAACAAAGCGAACTAATCCGTTAACATCATTTTACAAGCGATATAACTCAGGTAAACTATTACGTTAGCTCAACTAAACTGATATAGCGTTTCGTAACTTTGCTCGGCTCACCTGTCCTGGAAGATGAGTCCGCCACAGTGCACCACTTGGACCACATCGGAGTCGGGTACGAGCTGGCCGCTGTCGAGGGCACAGCCGCGCACCAGTACCCGCTCCCCGGTGTCCTCTGAGGGAGGGGGTACAGAGGGGTGTCACAAACAGCCGCGCACCAGTACCCGCTCCCCAGTGTCCTCTGGGGGAAACGGTACACAGAGGGCGTCACAAACGTCACGTGACATGTGACGTCAAGCAGGTGATGTCACACAAATACGGATGACATAAATACGTGATGTCACATTCATATAAAATGACGCGTAATTTGACATGGGGGGATGTTTATAGTGGGCTCGGAGGCTTGTGCTTCCTCTGATCCGTCAGCGCCCACGTTGAGCCGCACGTGACTTTGTTCATCGAAATCGGCAAGGTTACACAGACGAGCGCATTTTGCCTGGATATATTGCATCTGAGCGCGCACGGCGTACTCGCGCTAGTCGGCTCTTATTAGCACACCTGTGCACGGCTCATTTCCAGTAATCAGCACACTGAGACAGCCACCGTCACACATGTGCCGCTGTGCTGAGTGCTGCTGGGACCACACGTCACCGCTGGTGTCACGTGCCACTGCTGTTGGCGTCACGTACCTCTGGGCTAATGGACAATAATTTGTTGGCGCCGGGCGCGTATGATATGGACATTGGACAGCGGCCTAGCGAACGTGACCTCCGCTGTGTCCTGTGGCCTCTGTGACTGCGACATTTGTGGCATCCGTGACTGCTCTGGATGGTGCCCTGTGTTATGGTCATGGATGGTCGATGGATGACCCTATTTGTGCTGTGTATAGCATGACACTCCTGCTCGTCATCATCAATAATCGCACTTTACTTCAATGAGAGTTGCGACTTACGGTAAGCTGAGCAATGAGCACAGTGCTAAACTTAACTGCAGTTTTTGGGTGGCCCAGCCGGTGTCGTAACAGTGGAGATCGTTATTATTTATCTACTTGCATCAAAATATCTTAAACGAATCTTGAATGCCTATACAAAATCGTAGGAAAGTAAAACAGTTCGAAAACAGGGCTAATTGGGGCTGTTACACGTCTTGCCTTAATTACACTTGGTTTCACCACAGTCCGGCGCTAAAGTCTGGTGCGTGAAAGTTCACAGAGACCGAAAGTCGAAACATTTGTATAGAATATCACGTACCACAGGGGTGTAGGTATTCAATCGGTGGACGCGACACCATGTCAGCGGAAATGTCACAGTGACATGTCACAATATCAGGAGACGTGCCATTTATCACCAGACGTGTGTTTCAGAATCAGCTATGGTATTTCTAAGAAGAAAGATAAGTAGAGCATATAAGCGTTGAACATGACAACGTCAGTTGACCGACCACCCAGCATCAGCTGATGATCATGTGACCCCATCAGCAGACTGTGTCCCAGCTCGTCCCCTGGCGCTCCCGTCACTCACTGAAGACCCCGGCCAGCTTCATACAGGCCGTGGAGGGGAAGAGGCCACTGAGCAGCTGTCGTCCTCCCATGCACGGGGCCAGATCGACAGAACTGCTGACGTTGCGCGTGAACGGGTCCTCGCAGGCTGCGTTATCCCCGCCGCGAGAGATGCACCGGTAACATGAGATAGCCGATATGCCTGGGAATGAGATAAAACGGTCGGTGACTAGTCTGTGGTGGGAGTCATTGTCGGAACGGTCAGTGGTGACTGGTGGGTCCGTCACGGTCAGCGGCGGGACGGTCAATGCAGCTGACACCAAGCAAAGATTGCTTCTTAGATCAAATGACACGCATCACTGAACGCCCGACCCTGACCCGCGTGTTCATTAAACTTCAAAGTTAAATGAACCGTAGATAGCTGTGGGCCCATGTGGCAGCACTGAGCACAGTTTTCAGCAGTGTCCTTCCCATGTCTCTCTCTCTCTCTCTCTCTCTCTCTCTCTCTCTCTCTCTCTCTCTCTCTCTCTCTCTCTCTCTCTCTCTCTCTCTCTCTCCTCTCTCTCTCTCGCTCTCTCTCTCTCTTTCTCGCTCTCTCTGCCTCTCTCCCTCTACCCTCTCTTTCCCTCTGCCTCTCACTCTGTATCTTTCTCTTCCCTCTCCTTTTTGTTCTCTTTTTTAGTTTCTCCTACACAATGCTTTCATCCTTTCTTTTCTTCCTTCCTATGTAGTCACCTCACTTTGTCCCGATTTCTATGCCATCGTGTTTCAAACTTGGACGACTGCAAGCCACGTGAATATCAAATATGGGTATCGATTGTTTCCCGTCAAACTATGCAAATTAAGCTTAGAAGCTCCGTCTGCTATGCCTTTCGCTTTCCGGAAGCCAACAAGGCGCAAACAAGACGGAGAACGGTATATCATCCGAACTCTGAAGTAGGTCTTTGTTCAAGACGGCTGTCGTGATTCTGACAGCAAATTGTTCCAGTAATGCATAACGACAGACAAAACATGGCATGAAATAGTTTAAACAAAATGTTGTCCGATTAGCTCATTCCTTTCCAATGTGTACCTATTATAGTGATAGGTAAGTCTTGAAAGGATATCACATACTTCCTTTCACCTATGCAATATGCATCCAGTTTCACCCAGTGGAGATCAGTACAGATGTGAGCAAAATGTTAGCTAAGCATGATTCCCTCAAGTGTCGAGCTATTCATCGCTGGTATAAGAAAGTAGTTTCTAGGCTAACCATTCAAGGCATTTTAACAACACTGAAAATAAATTCACACCCGCTCCTGGTGTTAACACCTTTTTAGGAAATGTTTACACCCCACCGTTTTTGAGCACCTGCACCGGTGTAGTTTCAACACCAAGCTTTGGTGTAAGCATACACTGAATCCTGGTGTAACACCAGGCACATACACTGGCGTATGGCGTTAAATCACTGTAAGTACACCAGTTTGTGGTGCTACACGACGTCTTTACACCATAAAAAGGTGCTACACCATTAATTTGCACCTTCTTTACGGGTACAAAACAAATACCCTTACACCAATGTGTGGTGTTAGTAGCCAATTGGGTACACCCTCTTCCGGTGTTGTGAAGGGAAGGAGATACACCGGTGTTTGGTGTAGCTGCAGCTCGATGAATTAATATATATATATATATATATATATATATATATATATATATATATATATATATATATATATATATATATATATATATATATATATATATATATATATATATATGTGTATAAGCAGGCAATATATCTTCTTTGAGGCAAGTTTGGTTGAATACGATCGCGTATTTGTTTTTTATCACTTTCTTTTGAAGCTTTTCTTTCTTTCTTATCACTTTCCGGTCAGTTTCTGGCAGCTGGTGTAAAGTATCTCCAATGTTCATACATGCATTATATTGATTTACGTTTTGCGACGCGTTTCGAAGTACTCACTTCGTCATCAGGCATTTACACTTTACACTCTCATCACATTTAACACTTACATTATATCTAAGTTACTTCATACATTTTTGTTGACCTTAAAACAAATGCGATGTGACCTGTCAAAATTCAGTGCACGGTTGTTCGAATCTAGTTCGAAAATTCAAACGTGCTGCTTCCATCATGCAACATCTCCATCTACTACCACCGATCTAGCAGATACTAACGTATCAGAATGAACGAAATGTCTCGTTCACTATACACTGAACAGTCCCCTCCCCACACACACACACACACACACACTTCACCATCACCTCCTATCCTGTCAGCGTGATCCGTCCCCTGTGTTCGCGCTGATCACACATGGACGGGCAGTGTTCTAGGATGTAGGCGGCCTCGAGGATCCTCAGCTTCCACATGTTATTCTCCCTGTCCAAGATGCTTGTGTTGTCCACCATGTCCTGTCTTGTGATGCGCTCACCGTGGGCACGCTGGGAGTGTTCAGCTGGACCACCCGCATCCTGAGGATCCTCGAGGCCGCCTACATCCTAGAACACTGCCCGTCCATGTGTGATCAGCGCGAACACAGGGGACGGATCACGCTGACAGGATAGGAGGTGATGGTGAAGTGTGTGTGTGTGTGTGTGTGTGGGGAGGGGACTGTTCAGTGTATAGTGAACGAGACATTTCGTTCATTCTGATACGTTAGTATCTGCTAGATCGGTGGTAGTAGATGGAGATGTTGCATGATGGAAGCAGCACGTTTGAATTTTCGAACTAGATTCGAACAACCGTGCACTGAATTTTGACAGGTCACATCGCATTTGTTTTAAGGTCAACAAAAATGTATGAAGTAACTTAGATATAATGTAAGTGTTAAATGTGATGAGAGTGTAAAGTGTAAATGCCTGATGACGAAGTGAGTACTTCGAAACGCGTCGCAAAACGTAAATCAATATAATGCATGTATGAACATTGGAGATACTTTACACCAGCTGCCAGAAACTGACCGGAAAGTGATAAGAAAGAAAGAAAAGCTTCAAAAGAAAGTGATAAAAAACAAATACGCGATCGTATTCAACCAAACTTGCCTCAAAGAATATATATATATATATATATATATATATATATATACGTGTGCATGGGTCTGTGTGAACTATGTGACAAGTCCATATGGGTATACTGTGGCTTGCCTAGACCCCATACAAAGCAAAGCATTCCTTAAATAAAGACAATTTATTTTGTAACGTCCGAGACGAGCAATAAACAAATGTTATTAACAAAAATTGCGGCAACTGTGAGTGGCGCTTTCTCAAGTGCACGGGTGGTCACCGGACTCTGCTGACAACATACCAGACCAGACATTTATCTCACACTTATTTATCACACTTATTTATCACACTTATTTATCACACTTATTTATCACTTATTTATCTCACACAGGGCTGCGGAGTCGATGGATTTTCGGCGACTCCGACTCCGACTCCGACTCCGGCTTTCAAAAACCAGCTCCAACTCCGACTCCGACTCCGGGCAGAATTGTCGACTCCGACTGACTCCAACTCCCGACTCCGACTCCGCAGACCTAGCAGGGCTGAGGAGTCGACAGATTTTCGGTGACTCCGACTCCGACTGCGGATCGGGTTTCTAAAAGCGACTCCGACTCCGACTCCGACTCCGGTCACAACTGTCGACTCCGACCGACTCCGACTCCGACTCCGACTCCGCAGCCCTGATTCTCACACCACCTCCAGTCTCCACACAGCCCCGCATCACTCGACTCAAACTGAAGCGCGAATGAACACGCCGCCGTTCATTTGAATTTACGCATGTGCACGCGCAGCCGCTCGCGCTGGCCGGCGGCCGGCTGACCTTGAATCCAAGGCCATATCCGATCCATGGTAACGGTGCTAGTAACACCGTTTAGAGATCAATGAACTGGGAGCTACACCATTGTGTGGCGTATGCGATATAACGTCTCTGTCACGGGGTGTTGACACCAAATGGTGGTGTTATTTATCCGTAGCGTCGGTTGGTCTGAGGTGGCATTGGTGTTAATTGTCGGTGTTGATTTTGAACACCGAGTAATTGCACCATTCTTCGGCGTTACACCCCACAGTTACACAGTTGAGTTGTGTTACACCCTACCAAAACGCCTCTCATTGGTGCTTTTTTTCGTGTCACCGGCACGCGAGTGTTAATTTATTTTCAGTGAAGAAAAGTCGGACTGTGTTATCACAATGGTGAATTGTGATATCTCATGCCAAACATAGGCATATGACATAAAAATTGCAGCCTTTCTAAGATAACGTAAGGGATGCAGCTGTGTAGCTACCTACCGACCTTCTGTTTGATTAATGAAATAATCACAGCAATCAGCATGCTTTCGGAGTGTTATACCAGCCAGTCGAAGCAACGTGCTGGTTTCAGCGAATTATGTAATTGTACACCAAAGTAATCGTATCGTATCGTTCCCTTCGACGCTGGTAAGCCGGTAGGTGCAGTGTGAAGAGTTGTTTGCTCATTGAATGCGTTTTGTTGGAGGTGATGTAATATAGTAGGCATGGCATGTGCTTGGATCTCCGGCCTGAAACACTTCTGGGTCGTGCTTTAATTTGTGAACTAAGCCGTAGTGATCAGCCACAACATATGCACATTGAGCAATGAGGATATACATAGTACTAAGCATCATGATATCGCAAGTTGACAACGGCACGAAGACATGAGAGAAGCATTCCTGGCAACAGCACCACATTATCGGTATGTAAGGACCGCTTATTTTTAGATCTCCAGTTTCATAAGAACATAACAGGTATGCACCAAACACTTCATGCAGAAGAAAATACAGGAAAAAGGAATACGTTTTCAACAAATGACTGCGAGGAAATTTATTGAAAACCTCATTGCTGCTGAATGATATAATACCTAACACCAATGCAAAGGTAAACTTAATATGGTAGCAGAATAAATGTAGAAATAAACATTTAACATAAAATATCACACGGGTTCGATACAAGGATAGAATATACGCTTGATCCATTTGTGTTTAAAGGTTGTGACACGACACGCCCCTTTTTCGTACCATTTTGCAACGATATTTCGCAAAACACTTTTTCGTTCCGTGAGAAATGTCGGAAGCTAACAGACCGCACATAGGATGGCAAATAATTCAATAAAAAATAAACCACAGCGCATACCTATCTACCTGAGGGAACACCAGGGGACGTAAGGGGATGCAGTACTTCGCATGGGCACAGATTAGGATATGCATACATATGCAGTTGTCAATATAATAGCGAGAAGCTGAATGAAAGCTTCTCTAGCCGTGAGTCTGGTAGAGCTCGCCCCGAAGCTCTGCACTCTCCAGTCTCCATGACTGGCGGCTCGACACGCATCTGCAGTGCCGTTACAGCATGTTCTCCCGGCGCGGGTGGGCCTTGAACGGGTTGGTGGCGAAATACTCGGCCACCGGCACCGTCTTGGCGCCGCCGAAGTAGTCGAGCACAATGATATTGAAGATGTCTAGCTTGGCCACGAAGAAGTGATGGCCGACCGGCCAGCCGCTCATCTCCGGGTGACGCGCGAACAGGGCGTCACGCGCAAACACATACTCGGGGTCGTTCTCGTCCATCTGCAGAACGCGGCCAGTGAGGATGACGTGCGCGCACAGTGGGTCCTCCGGGTCGTACCCGCGCCGCCGGCAGAACTCGGTCTGCGCCAGACTCATGGTCAGCGAGGCGCTGTTGTTGACGCGCAGGTCCTTCACGGAGATCTCCATGTCGGTGAGGTAGAGATAGGGCACGCCCGTGGACCGGTAGCGCGTCCCGTCGCACACAGAGAACACGTTGGCGAAGGGCATGCCGCGCGTCGGCGGCCGGGTAGAGATGGTGGCCATGGCCGCCCAGTCGGAGACGTGCACGATGTAGCGGGCCATGGCCGCCACGTCCTGGTGCGGAGGAGGCAGCGGCTCGGCGGTCTCCCCAGAGTCGTCCTCGGCCGCAGAGAGGGCGGTGTCAGCCTCTGAGGCTGTCATCGCCGCCGCTACCGACGCCGCTGCGGGGGAGAGCTCGCCGGAGTCGGGGTCGGCGATCTGAGGAGACTCGGGACCGTGCGCGGGGTTGTGTCGCTCCTCAGGACGCCCGGACGTCTGCTTGGCGCTCTTGGAGAAGTTCTTCTTGGAGGGGGCGTCGCCGCGATGCTGGTGTTGGTGCTGGTGCTGCTCGTCGCGGTGGTTCCCCTCACGATGACCGCTCCCCTGGTGGTGACGAACGTCCTCAGAATCCCCGCCACCGCGCCGGTCTTTCGACTTCTTCTGACCATCCTTCTTGCCGTCCTTTCTGCCGTCCTGCTGGCCGTTCTTACCCCCGTTATTGCGACCATTCTGAGCAGCTTTTGTTCCGTGACCGTCCGACTCGGTGCGACCCTCGTGACCGTGAACTCGACCGTGACCGTGACCTCGATCGTGGCCGTGCCTCCAGTGACTCCCGTCCGAGTCTGCTAGCTCGACGAACCGGTGGTGGTGGTGATCGTCACCATCATCCTCGTCGTCGCTGTCATTCCCGTCGCTGTCGTCGTCACCGCGGTAACGCTGACGCCCCTGACTGCCGTGGTGGTGGTGATGGTGCTCTCTGCTATCGTCGGCCCCGTCGCGCCGGTGGTGCTGTGCCTGGCCTCCGTCCGGGCGCCGCCGGTCGCCGGCGCTCAGCGCCGCGCACAACACCAGCACCAGCGCCAGCGTCAGCACCACGGATGACCGCATCGCGCTGTCCACCGTTCACTGTCCCTCGGTCAACGTTCAACACTATCCACTGACACTTGGATATCACTTTGGTCAGCTCCGCGCTACCCAGGGCACAGTTCGACGCCGCTGCCAGCTTCTGGCCGGCTTTGTTATGGGTTACCACCCCTCGTCAGCTGGCGGTGGCTCAGCTGGCGCGTGGTAAAAATACACCACAGCGAGCCGGGCCAGTGCGGCGGAGATGAACGATGACGTCATATCCCGCCGGGCCAGAAAACTTAGAGCTGCAGGATTTCAGGCCGGCAGCCCGGGATTGGTAATCTGATTAGAGTGACGGTTGAGGCAGGCAGGCTCGTTTGTCTTACCGGGGTGTTCTGGGCATTTCTGCAAACTGCGCCTGCCATTGCAAACTGACTAATATACAGGGCAACCTACCCATCTCTATTATAAATCAAATTGTACTCATTTCAAATAACTTTGAAAATTTTACTCAACTATATCAGTCGTTTTCACGACGGGTTATCTGGTGAATGCACCATGCTTGAACAAATCTAGCGAAATATCTTTTACAGCAAATATCTTCATATCATTAATTAATTTCAACGTTTCAACCGAAAATGATGTCTCATAATTTGATCAATAATGTTTAGGCATAGCAGCTTGTACCTACAGCCCAGCATGAAAATAAGAAGTGCAAAAGAATCAAATGAACTATAGGTAAATCTAATATGACCAAATCGCATCAAATGCGACCAAATGTGTGTCAGATATCCGTCCTGGAAACGACTTTTACCTACCTACTGGTCATGGTTACTACTGAGGCACCCATTGGCTCACATGATTTTCTGCCGTGCGCACATGATGAACAAGTTTTTGGTCGTTTTCACTGAGACATTCAACTTACGTGACTATGTCAACAAAAGTCTTCATTTTACGCCCGATATCGATTTTTAGCAACAATTGTGATAAATCAGCTTGGAACTCTGCTGGTACCTTCCCCGGCTACAATCTGTCCAAGGAAGTAATGCCTACATAACAAATAAGAAAAATTTGAACCAGCGGCGTATTTAGAAAATCGCGAAGGGGGGGGCCAAGGGTTTGGAGGGCGCCACCTCACCCAAGGAGGGCGCCATACGGTCGCGAGATAAAAAATCACTCAACGGGGGGGGGGAGGCGTTTTTTACCATGCCACCAGTTTTTTTTTTTTGCGTAACCTCGTATAGGTCGTGCTGCATTGATTTTGCATCGTGTGTATTCTTTATACTCCAGGTCACAAAAGGTCGAGTGGTCTTGAAATGCTGCGCCGAAGGCGCGCAAAATTTTAGAAAACAACCTTTTCCTCCGCTTTTTAGGCACGCCTTTTATACGATCACTGTTCAAAGCTCCTCTCGCTCTTTTACCAAATTTGAAGGTATAAAAAATACCTAAGGTTTGGTCGGGCCGCTGCCACACAAACTGTATAGAAAGCTTGGCTCATGGGTGTCGATGTATAAAAGTTTATTAGCGGTGGCATATCTACGCACCAGATCACCGTAACGGATTGATACCGGAGCGCGAGATGCGTAAACATCATGCAAATTACCTCAGACCAGCCTTCATAGCCTTCTCACAGGTGCATACAGTGTACCTGTAGCACGCTACATCTTGAACATTTAACGTAATATCTTTTCGCCACGGCTCGGTCCGGCAGTCCCTCTCCCTCGCAGTCCGGTCACAGGCCTAGCCCTCCATTCACTCACCCATCGCTGCTACCGGGTGACGCACAGCTGAGCGGAGCGCTGCTGCTGCGCTCCCCTCCCCTCTCATTATTCACCCCCCCCCCCCCAGTCACCAGGCCCACCATCCCCACACATCACTTTTCTCCATCTCCCGCAACGAGCACTGTCCGTGGGAATAGCCGCAGTAGACACATCTGCGGGAAGACGATGCCGCCTACATCAGTACGAACCGTCGAGGCACAGCTGAGTCAACAAGCTACGTCAGGACCGCGGCCGGCGGCGGCGGCGAGCGAGCACGTTAAGGTACTCTGTCACTTGTCACGTACTCTGTCAGGTACCACAACAGCTGCACCGCGCTGAGTCCCACGGAGGGAATGGCAAAACCAGAAAGATCCTACGGCAAGCAAAAACGCTGTAGTTCCAGAGGTCTTCGCAATGGGCAGCCGTTAAACTCTCATTACGACGCTCGCCTATGGAGACAGCTACCGCAGGATGAGCGATCCGAGCCTCCTCAAATAACGCTGGATCAGTAAGATATGTCAACAGATCATGGAGCAGTGTCAAGGATGGATGCCGGCTGGAGCACACAGCCTCCTTTGTCGGGCACAGCAACCCAGGGTGAGTGAACCTGGCAAAACAGCCGGGTGACCGACCTCACAATGGCCTCATGAGGTAGTTCCAGAGATCTCCGCAGAGGAAGAAGGCGCTGACTTACGGCCACGCCCCGGTACGGTGGGCGGAGCAAGAGTGACGTCACAGGGGCGTTGGCGGCAGACGAAACGGAAGGAAACAAAAGTTTGAATAAAATGAAATTGAAGAATCAAAATTAAAACTCGAAAATCACAAACCTTTCGGGGATTGTTTTATGCCAGCGATTATTAAAATGATAAAGCACTCAACACGAAGACGATTCGACGGCCAAAAATTGCAGGCACAGAGGAGCAAGGTGACTAAACAGGACAGAGGGCGCCATCTTACGGCCCCACCCACCAGAAGAAGGCAGAGGAAGATGACGTCGCAAGGGCGTGGCAGTCACCCCTCCCCCCAACTATAAAAGGGTGCGCCACCCAACCAGAGGGAGAATCACAGTCGAGCAGCCGAGAGTGACAGTCTGCAGCCGGAGCCGGAGACGCCATCTGGAGACCGCCGTCGGTCCGGGGTCACCCGCGAGAAGCCTCTTCAGTTCGACCGACCAGAGCCGGAGGACGACCGCCGACGCTTGTGACCACACTGAGAAGCGGAAGCGCAGAGAAGCTCCAGAATGTGAGTGTTGTTGAAAAGTCTGCTCAATCCCAATCCTTGACCCCCCCCCTTCTGCCCGGGTGCCGTGCCAGTGACGACTGCCAAACATTTTCGGTTGCCATAAAATGCACTCTCAATTGGAATTGGAAAACTTAAATTATTTCGAACTTATTGGTCCAGACACCCTAGTAGCACATTAGGATCTGAATTTTGAGGTCATGTCAGAGCCGCCAGCAAATATGTTATTGTCAGTTGGAGCCGGTATGTTTCGCGATTAGACCGAGAACGAGATGCTAAAATTTGAATAAGCAGGTCAGTGTCACGAACGCTGAAATTATTGACATGTTGCGCGTCAGCATTGAATATGTCTTTGTGTTTGGCCAAACTGGTTCGTATTTAGTATCGGCGGTAGTCAGGTGCGATTAAGATTTGAGGTTGGGAAGTTTGTGAAATTAAGGGTGTAGATTCATGCTGTACTCATAAAGAGTTGCATTGCGAAATCATTGGTGATATTGCTATAGGAATTAATTGCGAAGTCAAAATCAATTATAGAATAGGTGAATACGGTGAAATAGGAACATAATGTTTTAAGGCGGCGACTGATTCTGCGATCGATCTACGAATATGGCTATGAGTTATGATTTTCGACAGATACGAATGCTTGAGCTTACGGCGGAATTTCTTCTGTTACTTAGGTGCAGAGTTGAGAGTAGTGGTTTGAGGTCGACGGTTTGACACTTTTGCGACTTTAGCTGGTCCTTGTATTTTGCGTCATTGAAATTGCGAAATGTCGAGTAATAGGTAGATGTAGAATTGTTTGTGGTTAGAACTAATATGCGACTAATATAGGTACCGATCGTTGTGCTTCTGTAGAATAAATACTAGAAAGGATCATCTTTGTTGGGAAACGATTAAATGGGACAAGAAGTTATTTAAAGAAGACTTACGTAGAACGGAGCTGATGAGATATCGAACGGGGAGATATTGCAGCGATATTTTACCAGATTCACACTCACTGACACATCCGGTGAATCTACCCGGCCAGAAGAGACAACACTCACGAGCACTGCACCGCGAGTGATGACACGCCCAGAGCGGCGTGACTGACTGACGGTGTCGACGCGGCGCCGGCCGGCGGCCGTGGTATTCGTCGTCCCCGACGCGGGCGTTGAGCCGCCAGAGGGCGCGAGGAGCAGCCACAACAGGGGCAGTGGGTTAGCCGTAATTGGGGCGCGTGCGGTAGGTGAAGGTCATCGTATAGAAACATGGTTAGTTGTAGAAAGTTGCAACGGGATAAGAACGTAAACAGTTAATGCATAATTTTAAATATGACATGCTATATGATATCTAGGACTGCAGTTCGTTTGCTGTGCATTGGTTACTGCTAATAAGATGATTTAAATTAGATTTTCTATGAAAGGCTAGGGACCCCTATGACAATGTTCTGGCACTCTATAAAGGTAATTTGTATAGGTAACTAGTAGCCCATCAGAAGCTATCGAACGAGTTTCAAGGAGTCATTTCCGTTTGAGCATTCAGTAATTCACTATGATACGGTGGATCACAACCAGACGGCAGATCGGTGCGTACTAATTGGTTCTAGATCATCTGATTAAATCAAGAGCGGTTCAAGGTCTACTAGGATTGTATACGAGAACTGATGATTAGGTTCACGCGTGCAGCAGCAATTAGGACTTGAAATTACTATTAGGTTTGGATAAATAATGCGTTTCTGTTATTCGCGTTCTTGTGAGTTAGCGCCAATAATTACTCCACCAATATTGGCACAGGGCATTGTGAGGCACAGACGGCTTGTTTGCCCGTCTCCTATGGCGTAACGTTTACCAGCATGACTGTACGAGACACAGATGCACTTCTCTAAACCCACGTCCAGACCGGAATGATAAGAGGGACACACCGTCACGTACGCAGGGCATATACACGTTTTCCGCCAGTGGTACCGGCCACTGTTAATTTTCCCGCTTAGGTAACACTGGGTGAGAAGGCAGTGAGAGGTTTCTACGGCAGGGGGGAAGGGGGAAGATTGGCACAGTACAGTGGAGAGTAAGTTATGCCAAAGGCAAGAAGCCGAAGGTCAGGGGTCAGTCACCCAAAGGGCGGATAAAGCGAGCCGTAGTGTCCCGAATAAGTCCTCATACTTATTTCGTAAAGGTACTCTAATCGGTACTGGACAGCCTCAGGGGAGGGAAGAATGTACT